CAATACGCCAATAGATATAACTCCTTAATGCTTCTTTATCATTATTATTAGATAATCAAGTTATATCTGGCAGATGTCACTCACCTAGTTCCCAAATCTCATTAATATTATTTTCGTTGTCTCTAAAAGTTGACCAAAGTTTGACACAGTTTCTTTCCATTACAAAATCCAAGGCAAGCCTTAAGAGAAACGCAACTATCATGAAAGTCAAGTTTTCCACTCAACTATCTTTTAACGAGCGAACTGAATATAATTCAAGAATGTTTTATCTTCGGGCACCAAGTTTCATCTGTGGCTGCTTTTGAATAATGTTTCACATTAATAAACAGGGTCGGTTCCACTGCAGTAAGACTGTAAGAGGATATAATTAATTATGTCACCTAGATGAAACATCTACAGCGACAGAAACTATCACTTAGGATTTAGATAGTGACAGCGGTTGAAGGTAGATGTATAAGTATTCGAATTACACAGTTTGAGTGTTTTGATTTTAGACTGTTATTCTATAACAGCTTTTTTTCCGATTCTGGTAGCATATTAAAAATAACAAGTAATAAGAGTATGATGTGATTAATTAAATATTTAAAATATAAAATGTAGGGTGATGATGTAAATTGCATTTTATACAGCGGAGGCTGCGGCGGTCCGTTAGGTAATTACATGAGTGCATATTTTTCTCACGCGACCGTGCCCTAATATAATAAATCTTGTAAATTGACTTTGTTAAAATATGTTTTTAAAAATATAATCTTTTGATTTAGTATCTTACAGAGTTATTTTGGTGAATAAAATGTTTTCCAAAACCATATGCTTTTAATATATGTATTGTATTATTATGAAAGTATGTATAATTAAAAATAAATAGCTTATGAATAATATTAAAAACATAACACAATTCCGTTTTCTCGTCCTAAAAATAGCTGTATAATTGAAATTTACCCACATTGTTCTAGAGAACATGTTTTACGAGCTTCGTAAGAGATTTTATTTATATTGTGTATAATAATACGGAACAACGCCTGCAATTTCATTGCACATGGAATGTTACAAAGGATATTACCCGACGGCGTTGCGCCTAGTAGTGTATTGTTTTTCATAATTTAAAACTAGAGTGTGTTGTTCCCTTTGTTTATAAGCAGAATACTAGAAATAATGATAGGTATACAAGACTTGTTTCTCATATTTTCCCTCGTCGCTATTAAAAATATTATATTGCTTTGCACCTTTTAAATTCATTTAAGTTTGGTACCATTTATTTACCTTATGATTCAAAATTAATAATGATTTAATATCATTATTTCCTTTAATATCTATCTCATAATAGACTGGTATTGTAATTGAACATAAAGTACATTAATTGTCTCCGTTAAAAAAGAATCTGAAGAAAATTAAATGGAAGTGTTTTTTCTCCAATCCCTTTCATTTGTTACACTGCGGTCTATTGTTGACAATTGTCTTGTGGACAGCTTTCACACAGACCATTATAAGCGCTTATTTAGTCATTAATTTACCAGTGTCTAATAAATTTTTCGCTTAAAGAACCAACGTCTAATGTGGCAGAATATAAATTAGCAAATTCAATTTGAATATACAAAGCTGTACATTAATATATGAAATATAAAAATGTCTTTAATATAAATGAGACTGCAAGGTCTTTAATGAAACATGTGTGAATAAGAAAAATAGAACAAGTAATAGTAGTAGTAATATAGAGATAGAGTAATATAGGCTTACATTATCATTTTCACGATACACATAAGGTCACATCATGAAATTTAAAGCAGCCGTTTCAGATTTCATAGCGTTTAGCACATAAACTACCAATTGAAATGGAGCCGCTATCGAACTAACCAGTCAGACTGCAACGTCAAACTATCCCAACGTTTTACATTTCAACGTATTATCTGCGTTGCTTTTATGATAGAATTGCAAATTTAAACCCTTTGTAAGCACTTTGCATTTGGAAACACAAATTCGCTTTTACGGTAATTTGCATGTTGCTATGTCACAGTTGTGGCGACTTCCGAAATATTGCAGTGAAATTGTACATTGTGGCAGTATTCATATTATATGTAAACAGAATAATTCTAAAGCATATGCTTTATATAGCGTGGTCCGGTAATTTCGGTTTTATTATAATATTATGAATGGATATAATTCATTGTAAATTAAGTGCGGTCGCACAATTTCGGGCAGTCGCAACGTTTTCGTACTAATGAGTAGCCACATTTGTTGCATTTATTGCCTTTATGTTGCAGATATGCATCTTGGGCACAAACTGGATGTTTCATATTTTTGGAGGACTTTCTGTTTACTACACATATTAAATAAAATTTTAATAATAATACATAGTTACTAGAAGACCCGGCGAACTTCGTATCGCCCTATAATCAAGAAATATCTGTTACGTTTTTTTTATTTATATTTTTGGAGTTTACCTATTAGAGCCATAAATCTCCGTGTTTTGAAGTGCGACAGAATGATTGACATATTAGTTAAGAGAAGTTCAGTGACATACACACTCACAGAAGAATGATATATATGAAGATATATATTTTTTAATTACAAATCATTGAAAAATAAAATTAAGATTTTAATTACACAAAAACTTCAGAAACAACTATTTTCAATTAACCAAACTTAAGCTTATGTACACTTAAGATAGTCTGATAGCAAGACTTGTAGAAACAAATCCAACCGTGTAATGCTTACGCAAACACTGGCCGTAGGGTGGTAGAATCGACCCTCAGTAAGTGGGGCAATCCATTCAGCCCTTGCCGACATATGGAGACCATAAATAATACTGCACACCTGTAACTAGTTGATTGTGTGTAGATAAAAAAGTTAATATACACAGTGTGTGCTTGATTTATGGTTGTGATTATTATATTTGTATTTCAGACATTTTCGGATAAGTAGATAATATGTGTGAAGGAAATATAACTTTCTTATTCAGTAAAGTAAAATTAGTTGTGATTTTTTTATGAAATAAGAAAAGTAATTAGAAATTAAATTACATCTATACTGTCATAATGTTATTTATCTTTGTTTGTTCTCTTTCTGGAAATAATAAAAATCAGAACTCAATTCTTTGAAGGTTTTATTAAGGTCCTTATACTACAAGGTCGTGTTCGACGTCCTCAATTTTATTCAATTCATTGAACCGTTTTAATTTTCTAGTACCAGATAATTTAAGACGCCTTCCACCATTAATTTATCGTCAAGGTTATGCGCAATATTGTTAAAGGAATATTAACTCAAAATTAGTTTAATATTCAATAAACTGAATAATATTGATAAAACGAATAATAAATAGCTGTTAACGAAAAATATTATAATGCTTTACTTTTGGGTGATCGGAAATTAATATTTTCACTCACTGCAGGTTTTTTGTTACATGTTTTATTTATCTAAGTAAGATGTACTTTTTCGTTATTTATAACTTTGAGTATGTATCATAATACAATAATTAAACACATAAATGTTTATCTGTATACAAATTCGAATGTAGTGTATATAGTTTGTTGAATATCAAGCAATTGGTCCATTATTAATACTGACATGACTGGAAGGTTATAAATTAAATTTTGTTTTAATAGAATAAGAGCACCAACAAGAAAATAAAAATGAAGAACGCTAACATAGCTTATTATGAAAATTAAAACCCCATTAAGATAAACTTGAAAGTACACTTAGACTTTTCTCTAATAATAATTCTTGAGATGACAGTTATACGTCAGTCTTTGTATTAAAAATATGAAAATAAAAATTCCAACTTTGTAACATCTTTATTAGTTGTGGCTGTGTTAAATAAAATATATAAAATTACGCTATTTATTTAAAACAGACAGGTTCAATGGGCTTTTATCTTATGATTGAGAAAATAGAGAGAGAACAATGGAACTACAAAGTAATATTAATTAATTAAAATAAGATTTACGCTACTTATATTTACTTATCTGAAATAATAATCTTTTCTTTAGTGTTCATACCATTAGAGTATTTATTTTATAAGTTATAAAAATTAATTATATTGTACAGAATAGAATGGAGTGAAACGGAGAAAATTCTTCTATTATTCGATACGGAACCTCTTACTTAATCAACTGACTCTTGTCCTATTTGCTTTTAACAGTGAGAGTCCAATAAAACTTTGTATTATGTGTGGGTAAAACTAAACACTATTATAAAACTTCCCTTTAGCGTATATTAGGATTTTTAGATACTCATTTACCACGCTTTTATTTTATTAGATTAAGATTCCAATATAGATGCTTTTTAATGAGTAGCATTTAAACTTCTAATAAATTAATTTATAATGTTTTTTACGGTGTCTGAATAGTTCGATTTCATCAGTTATTATGTTTCAAAACAAAATATTCCTCAAACATAATAATAACATAATTTTAGGATTAAAACGATTCCCGATATTAATATGTCCAAATAATAACTATAATTGACCATTTCACTGAAATCAATTCAAAAACACATCGAATATCATTTACATATTATTAGCTATCAGGATTTTTTTTTCCATGACACAGTTCTAACTGAAGTTTAAACATCATAAACATTAAAAACGTTACTTTATTAATAATGTACAGCCTATCCGCGATACAGTCCATTGTTAGCGCAACAGGCTTAATGGAAAAGTTAATTTTAAACGAGCCAACGCTACTACGCATCAGTTGGCTCTGCGATTAATGGGGATTAACTATAGTTAATTGTTTTTGGGGACGGGGCCAGTGAGTCCTTTGTAATTTGTCATGACTATCTGTCTCAGTAAGACACATCTTTTTATCTATGAAAAACATTCATTAATCTCTTTTTATATTTTGGTCAATTAATTATAATTGAATCGAATTGACAAGAAAAACATTTTATTCAATATTGCTGAAATCTAAATAAAACCAAATTTTCTTTTGTTTCAGATTGATCAAGAATTATTTCTTTGTCATTATGAAGGATGTTGTAACAAAACGAGTTTTATAGACGTGAAGATGGATTTGTTAAGAAATATCTGTTGTTTGTCAAATTATAATAGAACTATATTTTTCATGATAGTGTTATTTTCTTTCAAACTGTGTAGACCTCAGGACTTAAGTGAAGACTTTATTAATGAGGATAGTTTAGACTCTGATATTATGTTGCCGGTGAAAGTTAAGCCGAGAAATGTGGCAGAGAGTCCGTGTAGACTGAGCGAACTGCTATGTGATACGGGACAGTGTATATCGATGGATAAGTACTGTAATAGAGAAGACGACTGCGGAGACAAAAGTGATGAACCAAAATCGTGTACACGTAAGTATTTCACATCACAAAATTTTTAAAATTAAAAAAATGGAAATGATAAAAGTAAAATTGAATTAACTCAACTCTTCGTATTTCGAATTGTTAGCATTGAACCCAAGTGAGGCAGTCTAAAACACATATTTGCATTGAAATCCAAGCTTAATCGTTTGAAAATTATTTAGGACCCGATGCTGAAGTCTTTTATATAAAAACATGCGGACTTGTTTGGATTAACTTTTACCTTTTACATTGTTCGCATCATAAAACGTTATGTGGGTTAGTTTTAGATGAAAAGCAAAAAATATTTTCGGTATGAATATGTGAATATTGGTACCAAAAATATTTGGTGTTATCTTATCTTAATAAGTTTAAAGTAATCATACTAAAATTATTGTATAATATTAACTGTTACTTTTTTATTTCAAAATAATATCGGCCTACCAATCATAAGCGAAATTATGAACATATCAACAAAAATCAAACTATTTTGATTGATACATTAATATTTCAGGCACCATATCTGAACATTGGCATGTTAGACAATTTAAATGAAGTGCCGCGTCTAATTTAGATGAGACTACAGAATTCATCCCGATTGTGTTCTACATACATAGGATTCTGTTACATATTTCATGAAATCCATTAAACTATATATATGTATAATAAAATTGCTTATCATATTCCAGTTCATATGTGAAACGACTTTATGTCAGCAAAATTGGTTTTCAATTAGGTCAATTGAATGATTTATTAGTTATACAAATTTTTGGAACTAATTATATTATTTGAATGCTTAGTTGAATAAACTCCACGAGGTATGTCGTATTTAATGTATTTAAAATAGCTTTTTTCTTAAGGGAATTTCCTTAAATCAATTTAAGCACTAAGATGTTAGAAATTTCCGTTCATAATAAAGAACATTTTCGAATAGATGAACTTCACAGGAACTAATATATGTATTTGGAACAGTTTAGTCAGGATCTTTTGTTAAGAAGTAACAACTTTATAATTATGATTCATTAAACCATCAAATATTCACTACGGGAATTATCCTAACATATTTAGAATATATTTTATAACACTTATTATTGAACCAGTTTACGATTTATTAACAGTTTTATTTAACATACTAAGAAAACATATATTTTTTGTCAAATTAATGATATCAAATAATGATTCGAAATCAGTAAATCCCGAGTGAAGGATAATTTTTTTAATCACTATTTGTCACGCAATGAGCGCCAATTTGGGCAGAAGTCCAAAAATCTACTCGTTAGAAGAGAAGATTTTCAACCCGAGCGACACGGAACTGCACTAATACTTTGGATTTATCCGTATGATAAATTCTGTTAGCAATCCCATATAGTGGATACACATTATTTTCATTACATAAAACGAAGGCAACAAATCTATACCGAAATAATAGTCATAAATATTTATTAGAAAGGAATTTAAAAGAAATATAACGATATCATTTACTAAAAAAGATTCAGTAAGAATATTATCTCCACTGACAGTAATTACGTAGTCCCGCTCCAATATTAAATCTTTTATTCATAAGTTGATCATAATGTCTTATTTTTATCTCGAAAATAAAAATTATTAAAACATTCTTGATAATAACCGTGTGATATTTAGAAATGACCTGTAAAAGTAATGTACAAAAGATAGCATAATTTAAACAATAAATTAATCACGGTTTTCTATGTTTTTATAAGCCTCAGTTTTAATACGATCAATCAGTACATGCTACTTAGCCTTAGCTTTATGGATGCAACACCTTTTATCTGTTTTTATATATCGACGACTGGTTTACCTAGTTTTTCCTATCGAATTTGGTAAAGCTATGAGCCATTCTTCAATGGTAGCAGTACAGTATTATACTACTTAATGTTTTTTCGGTTTTTGGGTCCATAAGAAACTATAGATATCAGCTGTAAGTTATTGTATCAGCTGTAAGTTGTTCGTGGACTTCTTTAAATACAAGGTACACTTGGTATGTCACTGTCTTAGATACCATAGAAATTTACTTATATTGAAAGTAACACCGTTGATTATACCCTTCTTCTCTAATAGGAAGATACTACTCTGGGTCATCCATATATGTAAATATAAAATAAGAATCTAGGTTGCTAGAATATTTTTTACTAAGATAATAAATGATCGTTACAACACCAGTCATCAACCTGAAGATGAAGTTAATATTTGTATAAAAATAAACGAATATATGGTATGATTCTATTTCACTTACTATGGTGTCATTAGTCTGGCCACTATAAAAGTCAAACTACTTTGATGTTACAGTTAGCAAACGATTTCTTTTGAGACACGTTCCATATACATTCAGTTAAGAGATTTATAATTAAGATTTGTGAATGACTTATAATTAAAGTAAAATTATTTGCCATACTTCGTACAAGTTCTGTAAAGTAGTAAATAGAAGTAATTTATGTCTGTTTTTGATTTTTAAACTTTATTTTTATTTAACAGAAATGCACAAAATGCTTATACCTAAAATCAGCGTTAAGGTATTCTAGTGTAACTTTAAATATTAAACATTCAATATTTTGGAATACATTTAATAATGTTCTATAGTCTGGGTTGTAACAGAACATGACGTTACACCTTATCACAGAACAAGTTTGGCATAATAGTGTCAGTTTGAAAGACTTGGCTGTCTTATAATATCTTGTAATATTCATAACCCTGTGCATGCTTGCCAAGTCATGTTACGTTCGTGTTACCAGAACAATATAATTTGATTATAATCATTTCCTGCATCGCATGAAATGCAGTTGAAAAATTAATTGGCCGTATATTTAATTTAGATTCCATTTAATCAAATTAACAGCAAAAGCTGTATTCATCGTGATTTTGTTTCAAGCAATTTAAATATTCTAGATTTAAATCGTTTTTCACGTCCAACACAAAATACACCCAATTAAAAGGGGCTCTTACTTGAGCTTTGCTGTCCGTTTAAATACGTTTTTGCGCTTGAAATGTCCAGAACGATAATTGTCTTACACAAAAGACCTCGCAGATATCCTTACAAAGGGGAATAAACGAACTAGATTATTTCCAGCGTCCCCTTATCCAGGGATAAAGTCCTTTTTAAAGATCTAGACGATGACATTACATCATTACGTTCCGGCTTCGACTTATTTATATACCACCTATACTATGTATTTATAATGAGATTCCAAAAAGACTTGGCTTTAGTAATACATACTTACTAATTAAATAAAAGTAAAAAATTATTCTTTTTCTTTTCATAATATGACGAAAACTACAGTTAAAACTACCTTTATAAAAAACCTAAAAATATTAATAATGATTACGGTTTTCAAATATGGTACAACCTTATAAACATAACAGTGAAAGTACGTATATATCACTTCATGTATTAATGTACAGAAAACAAAGAAAAATAATGACCATAAACAATACGTGAGCTAAAACGTTGATATTAAAATTTGACCAAAAATACATCCACAATGTGTGTCTCTGATAAGTTCATGAGCCGAATGATACCAAATAAAAATTGCCTTAAGCACTCAAAACTCAGCTGAACAATAAAACTGTTTTAATTACAGCGGTAGGAAACGAGCTTTCGCTTTTATCGTTCACGTACGTAGTCATTAGCCCAGAATGGAGCTACAATTACCAAAAAACCCACGTACCATTTAATAAGGTGTTAAGTTTGCCTTGCTGTTTCCGAAACGTATAATCTGTCACGACATCCTTTTCATATTTCGTTTTGAAACGTTAATATGACACTATGGTAAATGTTATTTCTTTGGCCATATATAACATAATTTTCGGTGTGTGTATGGCATCTTGTTCATATATTTAGGCACTGTTCTTAACTTTATGTTATAGTAATTAAAAATAAATAAAAATTTATAAAAACTAAAAATTCTACATTTTCAGTTTCACGTAAATGTCAAATTAAAAAGCAAACGTTGTAAAGAAAAGAAACAGACTGCACCCACATCTCTTTCATCGCTAAAGAAACTGTTCTAACAGAAAAGTGCTTTCATATTTGCTCGCTTTGAGACAGCACCGAAACTACAGACAGTCTTAATCACTAACGTGTCAGTCTATACTCCATGTTACGAATGCAAGCATCCTTCATCAGTTTGCACATAATTAGTGCTCGCTCTTTGTTTGGTTACTCTTGTAGATTGTCTATTAAATTGTAGTTTCTTGATTCAGTTGTAGAAGTAGCAATTACAAATGAATTGAGTTAAATCCAGATGAGCTATTTGAAAGGAAAAAGTCGAAAAAATTGTATTTTTTTAGATTGTTTGATTAGGGAATTGAGAAAGGATTTTTAGTATCACTTTTTTGAAAATAAATGATTTGTGGAAGCCTTAAATAGAACATGGTGACTTTAAGTTTTCGAATTGGAGTCATAGAAGTTGTACGTGCATGTAAGTTACAGTGTGTATTTGTGTTCAGTTGTAATTAGGAATTAAATTTTATTTAAATAAAACAAGAAAAGGCTGTAATTTTTTTGTATTATAAAATAAAATACAAATTTGTTACGTATTATTTTATTTCATATTTCAGTCCTATTTTGTTTCCGGGTCGTATTAAGATACAATTTCATACTGGTGATTTGTTGAATCTTTTAAATAACAATGTATTTCAATAAAAGATTGTATATTTTTGATATTACATTTTTCATGCCTTTTTATCTTGTATTTAAGAGAAAATTAAAATAAATATTTATCCTGGTTCTGAAAACATCCTAATGTTCTTGTAGCTAAATGAAACAAGTCTGGTTGTAAATATTGTTACATAAAAACTTTTCTTTTTTCAACTTTTTAATTACTTTGAATTTTTTAAACGTATAAAAAAACGTACTTTTAAAAACACTTTTAGTTTTCTTTTTTGTGAAAACTTTATATATAAGTACAAAATTTAATAATATTTCTTCATAAAACAAACGCTTTTTAATATGTAACAGACATTGTGGCTTTACTAGGTATACATTTTATAAATCTTATACATATTTTTTTGCTCGCATATGGTGGTACAAATCAAATCAGTTTTAAAATGAACTTTTATTATAAAATAGCTTTAATAAATTTGATAAAATGTAGGGAATATTACATTTTTTATTAATAAACAGATTGTATTTTGAATAAACTTCATCTAAAATTATCTCGACGAAGTAAACACCAGAGCACTGTTTTGATTAAACAAACACTGACGGTGGAAATATTAACTTATTTAGACATTTAGTACTTTGTGTCGTTATTTCTGGAAAAACTCTATTCAGGTCATAAACATAATGATTTAGTCTAATTAAATATATTTATATGAAAAGTTTATGCGGGTGGCACAAGACCGGTCGTCGTGGAGATCCTTGGGGGAGGCCTATGTCCTGCAGTGGACGTCTTTCGGCTGATGATGATGATGATGATGATGATATGAAAAGTTTTAGTATTTTGCATTATACAGAAGAAATTCATAAATACACAAATAAACAAGATTATACTTGGACCTTTCTATATGAGAGTCTCCAAGGTAGCCAAAAAATATATTTTGCTGGTATTTTATGGCCTTTACCCTGTCTCTGCTGCCTAATATACCGAATTGATGGCTAGTAAGTCTAGCCAGTCTTTCTCTTTAGTATAAAATGAAGTCCTTAAAATGAAAATTCTTCTTGAAGAATGAACGTACAATATTTTCTTACATAAATTTTGCTAAAAGACTTTCTATTTTGTCATTTATGAGTTCATCTTTTTTCTTTGATTGGTGGTATTCTTATAAAATACCATCGTTTCGGTTCAAACCGTGCTTATCACAGAATTCAAATACATATTAGTTATACTTTTAGTTTTCCATTAGTCAAGTATGTTTTTATCAGAATCGTAAAAGACAGAGCCATTAAACAAATTTAGGTCTAAATAATAAAAGCGAACAATATTGTTCAGCGGCGAAGTGAACACTTGTCTTATGCTGTGTACTTAATGCGCTGTCAGGACAGACAAAAGGCTTTTTTAAAAGATTGTAAAAATATGGCCGCCTCCCCATTGTGCGCTTCGCTTTATTCAAATTATTTTCCTTCTCATTTCCCTATTTCTATGTTGAAAGGATTAACAATAATAAAGGTACCAAAGAAGGGATTTTTTGTGTGGTGTTCCAATTTGAAAAGGTTGATGGCTTATTAGTTACGTCGTTTTATTGTACATATAATTCTTCTTTATAGAAAATTGTACATTTGAGATATTTTATATTCTTGCTGTCTTATTTCCATTCTTCGGAAATATATCCATGGCATTTTTAAAACAGATTACTCTGAGTGTCTTCGGATCTTTGTTTTCGGACTTGCAGTCTTAGTGTACGGGTCTGAATAAAGATGTTTATTAATTCCTTGAAACAACTGAATAGTTGTAAAACATATGTTATTTTGCACTTCATTGAGTGTCCAGTAATTGTATTGAAGTCCTCAATTTGATTTGAATTTCATTCTAAACAAATTGTGCGTATTATTTGGGTTATAAATAAAAAGGATTATATGAAACACAGAACTATTGTCCGCTACAGAATTTCATCTAATATTATAATATCTAATAATAACACTGCTATATGGAACTTAACACTTGTAGTTTCAAAGGTTTAGTAAACCAATTTTAAAAATAAGTATTTGTTTGGACCAAATGGTTCAGATAAATAAAATTTGGTACACGTGTTATACATATTTATACTTGCTTGCCTATCCTTTAATATACATTCCTTTTTCATTTCTATGTCATTGAGAACAGTTTTAAACATAATAAAAAAATATTTTTTTATTCCTATCTCCCAAATTTAAAATTAATTATCAATGGACGTTGTGAAATAAATAGTAACTATTAATTGTGTATTTATTATAGATGGCTTTCATAAAATAAAATGGATATGTTTTTTGTTACTTAGCAAGCACTTTATAAATGAAGTTACATTAACTTGAATATTGGTTATATTAATTATAACTGAAAATTACAGACATTATTATACATAAACGAGTATATATGCATATTAAACCATTAAAAAAATATAATTTTCAATTTTAAATGTTGCGTTTTATATTTCCACCCAGAAGGTTAATTGAACAAAGGAATTTATAGAGCTTAGGTTTATAAAGGCTGGGTCAAGGTTAATATTTTTTAAAGTCAACTCTCGTTAAACCTTGAGATCACCACAATTTATAATAATTTATAACGAAACGACATGGTTTATTTAAATTCAATTTAGAGTACATATTATAATTGCATTTTAAACTTAGTAATTTGAAAAGCATGGTTAATAACAAATGATAATTATGAAAGACATCTTTCTATACATTTTAATCCCAATTTAAATACATATGTTGTAAGGTACATATTTATAGCAAAGTTAAATGATCTATAGATTCAACTGTTTCATGTAATGGTTTCATCTATCAAAGCATCGGATGGCTTTTTTCTTTGATTTAACAAAAAGTAAATTAACGATTAACAAATACATATATTTGCAGCTTGTAACAGAACGTACATGGGAGATGTTGGCCGTACTTACGAGCTGGAGGTTCGCAGGCCAAGGGAGGATCATCTTCCATTTGTCTGTCATCTAAATTTTACTGCTAATGGCGGCAACTATGGCGATATTATACAGGTATTTAGTAGAAATGAATTACATGGAATAATTATTAATTACGCTTATAGAAAAAAAATATATACATTTGTGTAAGACCATTATTTACATGCAGCGGAAAGGGGAACTTAGATTAATTAACATGTTTCTTTATACACTCACACACTTATATCCAGATGTAATTTAATTAATAGAAATAATAGCTGTTTCATACACTGAAGCCCTAATTGGATTTGGGAAAATTACACTAGATTCAAAGTCACATTTCGTTCCGTCTAGGGTTTTTACACGACAACGGGAGGTACGAGTAGAACCCTTTTTCTAAAAGTAGCAACATAAACATGAGGCATTGCACAACAATTAGTATTAATTTTATTACTATTTTCATAATTAATATTTCATTATTACTTTTTACTAATTAATACGAAAGGTCATATTATAACAGTTTCATCAAAAACACTGCGGAGAGAATTTAAAAAGCACACATAAAATAAAATAATTTAAAGCTGTGAGTCATAAAAATACAATTAAATTTATTCATTGCGTTCCCAAAACTATTGTACAATTGTGCAATAGCTTTGCGTTTGGCTACACGCAAACAGTGTTCAGGTACAATGTCTACAGCGAACCAAAGTTTCCCTAACTTTAATCTTGTTTCAGCTTACATTCGACACTTTCACGGTGGGTAAATTTGTATCGTTTACCTCTGATGGATGCCCGGATGGACACATGACAATAGTTGAAAGAAGTTCATCACCACCGATGGGTCAATGGTGTGGCTCAGCATGGGGTTATACTGTATACTTTAGCGAATCAGACTCCATAAATATGACTCTCCGTTTGGATAGACTGAGCCAACAGGTTTGAATCTATTATAAAAAAATTTTAATCGTTGCTAGATGTTTTAACTCTAAAAAAATATAATTAAAATTACAAATAGCCTGTGTCAGTAAACCAATTCTATATATAACAATGTAAAGATCATTTGTGTAGTAATTACGGAAGCGACTTCGTCAATGCAGCAATTATAAAGTTGTTATGTGGGTGTCATTAAGCATTGATCGATATTTGGGTCTGCGTTCAACCTTGCAGTAAAATATATATAAATTTTTGTCATCAAAGCTATTGAAGTTCTACGTAATAACAGAATATTATTAAAATTATTACGAGTATTTATATAAAACCGGTTTGAGTCGTTGGATATATATAATATAAATATAGAAATAGAGTCCGTAGTTTCATTGTGTAAAAAACATTCAAATATAGCTTATAAGATATAATTTGTCACAAGAGTAGAAATTATTTAAACATAAAAAACAAAACAGTTTCATGGATTTGAATAATTAACTAAAATAATGTTGTCATATATTCAAGTTTGTATGTTAAGTCAGTAGCACTAAATAAACTTGCATCAAAGCCAAAGTTGCTAAAGTTTATTAAATGTGTAAACATTTTGTCCTTTACGTCGACTAACTCGCTAATTAACAATTTGGGCACATCGCAAAGTTAATCCATAAATGAACAGTATTAATCATCATTAAGAGTATCTTAGTAAGCACCCCATTTATGTTCTACTGACAACACATAACTAACTACACGTTTTCACTTGTGACTTGACTAATATTTCACGACGCCCTAGTTTTAAAGGTTCACTGCCCTTCCTTTATCTCGTTTTAGCATATTATATGCCAAGGGTTAAACTTTCAATCAATTAATTAAGCGATGACTACCGACACCCTCCGGACCGCTGGATATGTCCCCAATAAAGATAATGAATATTATAACAACCTAATTTGATTATTTAATAACGTTATTTATCCACTTCGTAGAATCTGTTCAAAATAACTTTATTCGTGTAGATTTTCCGTTAAATTTCACATTAATATTCAAAATTGATTTAAGGACATCATAAAATTGGGCATCACTTGACATTAATTTGTATTTCATTACAAAACATGGTAATAGTAAACACAATTACAATTATTATCTTGCAAAAAATATTATCTCAAGTAAACTTTTGAAAAATGTCAAATCATAATAATTAAATAACCCCTATATATAACAATAATTATACAAACATAAAGGTGAAAATTACGTTTGAAATTATTATTATATCGTTCTCTCAGTCACTCTTTGTCATTTAATCATTTCAAACAATATAACATAGAAAAGCAATTACCATTTGAGCAATTATAAATGACAGTAACAATTACAAGTGATGCTTGGTTTTAGGGTGTTGGGTACAATTTCGACTTCAAGTTGGCATACAAGTTTCTAAGACGAAGCGAAGCTAGATTGCGGTACGGTAACGCGACTGTGGGGGCGTGGAGGGGGGAACGAGTTCCCGGCACCTATTGCGACCGCATACTGAGCGACTGTGATCTACGCGCATGCCGCATCCAGTCACCAAACTTTCCTGGAGTATATCCACGTAATGCGACGTGTACATACCGCATTGAACACACAAAGGTAAAGTATATAAAATCGAGTCCACAAAGTTTTCTTTCAAAACGTTTTTCTCACATAACGACTGAAAAAAATACACTCAAAGCTTTTTCATACATTTCTATTCTGTGTAACCACCGGAAAGTTGTTTCGCGAAACAAAATAATTTCTGATTAAAATGGAGCTCCTCTATACGTCTTTAGCATGGAAATTAAAAGGCGTCTAAAACAGAAGTGTAAAATTACATAAGCCTTTACATTTGGGTTAAGGGTGTCACGAATATACATTAAAACGAGTATTTCACACATCGTGTAAGTCCGCGTGTTTCCTGCGGCGCTTCGTATTAATATTTAATTTAAAATTCACACTAGAGTTTACCACATTCGTACGAACTCTGCTCTGTATATTATAACGATTCAAACAATACGTAAGCCGAATAAGCCCTTTGGCGATTATTGAAATGAATTGTTTATTTACATTGTTATTTCATTTCATATTATCTTCCAGATACCAGCAGATAAACATGTTCTTTTGGCCGTGAGACAAACAAATAGTCATAAAATACATATCAAAGATCAAATAGTAAAATATGATAGAAGCCAACGAGTTTTAAAGTAAGTTATAAAACTAAAACAACAGATAAGCAATATATTAATGGATAGAAGTGTTTTTATTTATTTACCATGAATTTGTAATCATCATCATCAGCCTATCAGAGCCCACTGCTGAGCAAAGGCCTCTTTCTCACATATTAGAATAGAATATTGTAATATTCATGGAAAATAAATATAAAGTATTTTCGTATTGCGAACAAAAAGATACACAGACATTTTTTACAGGATTTGGGACCAATGCAATGTCGTTCAGGATTATCTAACAGTTTGGGATGGACCTACAAGAGACTACCCGGTTCTAGTTAGACTTTGTGGAGGAGACGCAGTTCCTGACATAGTTAGCAGAGGGCCTAATATGTTACTTGAGTTTCATACCTCACCCTATGATAATCCTTTTCATCCAGTTCCTCTAAGTTATTTACCTGGTTTTGAGCTCGAAGTTCAGGTAATCAAATCTATTTTTACTCTATGAAATTTAAATAAAACTTTCCATACAAGTAGCTCTTAGCAAAATTTGTTCAGTTATAGATTACATAAAAGATAACCATATATATTATGAACCAATATTTCCTCATAAGAATTCTGGCATGAAATAAAGAAAATAAATCCCAAATCACACACGGGAGTCTTTGTGTTTATATTACCAATATTATTCTTGCCAGGTGTTGTACGTGGACAGAGATTCCCATTCGTACGTGAGCTCAGATGGTCGTTGTCGGTTTGTTTTACGCTCCTCTGACAAGACAAGCGGGGTGTTAAGAAATCCACGACACTCCTTACCACCAAATACATCTTGTGTGTATTACTTTCAGGTTAGTAAAAAATTTGATATGACCTGAAATATTTTCAAAAGAATGTCATATAAACAGTCTGAAAGAATCTCTTCTGAAAATATTAGAAGCGCAGCATTTATTATTATCAACGATCTGTAAAGTCTTATTTGCCAAGGATTTATCACTTATGTTCGAATGTGGAATACCTGTTAGGTATCGGCTATTCACTAGATTTATGTTCTCAGGGTCGTCCAAACGAAATAGTATGGGTGTCGTTTGTTAAGTACCACGCTGCGGGTTCGGAGCCGGCGGGATTCGACCAACAAAAGGATTGCTCTTCACAACTCACTATTTGGGATGGCGCGGCACCTGATGCAGATCTTGATAGAAAGGTGTCTTGATTGACTTTATTTATAAACTGTTGAAACTTATATCGTTTAGGTGTATGTTCTAAGTAATTTGTCTACATTGAAGTCGTTTAGGACTTCATATATTATGTTACAAACTGAATGCAATAAAAATATTTTTTATTTAAAAAGATGCTATGTTTTTAAAATTAAAAAAGCTAGAAAGAAATGTAATCTTCTCTTCTAAAAAGCAAAACGGAACTAGTACCGTTCCGTAATGAAATGTGGAATAACTTAGCCAACCGAAACTTCAGTAGTTGAAAAGACTAATGCGATGCTACAAATACAGAAACGATATAAAATTGGGTGGCGCTGTAACTGCTTTTATACATTTCATTTCACTTTTCCGCTACCTCCCCCACTTGACGTTGGGAGCCAAACATTAATTTTCTTTAATGTGTCTGAGCAGTCTTACCGGACAGTGACTTCACTCTCGACTGCAGTGCGGTGTTTCGTTATTTTCATTCGACATTCCACCGTTTGCATTAAGAATGGATGAGCGCTCCGCTCAAGTAATTTTTTTGTTGGCACTTTAATCAGAAAAGTTTCCTAGCTAGAGGATAGTCTGAGTAAATAGTGCACCTGGCTGGAGCAAATCACTTCCTGCCCGTAGATTGTGTACTTCAGAACTGGGTCACGCTTTATTCTTCACTACAGAAAACATTATTGCAACTGTTTAAATATGGCATACTGGTGTTGAAAACAAGAAAATATATTTTTTTTCATTTTACTTCAAATAAACTCACATTTCTTTTGTGCTTTTATTCTATTACAGAAAAGCGTATTTCTTATTTGAAATAAGTAAATATTTTGTTTTCATACAGTTGGAAATGAGTGACAAGAAATCTCTTCTCGGTTCATTTTGTCGAGAGGAATCTCCGCGTTTGTGTGACCATGCGCTTCTATCAAACGCTACGCGGGCGACTAGGCCTTGTGCTCCCACAGAAAGCTACATCACAACTGGACCAGCGCTTACTATTTTGCAGGTATACAACATAAATTAGATAAAAAAATATTGAACATTTTCTTAACATATTATATATAAATAGTATATTTATCAGTATGATTCTATAGTTCAACGATAATCAATGACAAAAACAAATCAAAAACAATAAACAATGAGCACTATAGTTCTGTGCTTTATATCAATCATGTACAAGTCGAATGAGAAACTCTGCCCGCTGCAATTAATTTGGTTTCAACGTATCACGAGCATGTGTTAAGGTGACAACAGAATATTACAGTTAATATCAGTCCCGCGACAATACATTGCTTTCAAATCTACATTTGAATTGAATCTGTACTTTCAACTATTATTATTATGTTTGTATTGTATACTGTACAGCATACGTCACTCATATATAGTCATCAAAATTTTGACATGTCATTGAAAATATGCTACGCTACATGAAACTATTTTTAATTATATAAATTATCAAGTAGAAATTTTGAAATAAAGCACGTCTAAATAAGTTTACTTACCATTCACCGAGGATGTATAAAATCCTTTTGTAAAGTTCTTTCGGGTTCTTTTCATGACATCGCAAACATTGTGCTTCCATTTCAGTCTGCTCAGCTATGCATAGAGCAACATGACGTAGTATGCACTTGTATGAAAAATATAACGCACAAACAGTGCTCGGAGATGCCATTAGTATCAAAACAGACGGTGAGACTTGATACCGTTTATAACTGTCTACGTCGTTCATCCACTATGTATGGTGTAATCAAAACGAAGCATAGACTTTTACTGAAACGCGTAATAAAATTATCCCTTACGCTTTTTTATAAATAAAGGACTGCTTGAAAAGGCTGAAGTTCCTGCCTGTCGTTATAAGTGACAAGTATGATTTTAAAAAGAATAACGGAAATTAAAAGGAAATATTTTCCATTTCTTATAGTACCACCAGTACTGAATAACAAAAGAAAAATCGAAGTCTTATAAAGTCGTCTGAGTAGTTGTTTGAGAAATTTTAGTTTCTTTATCCGATCTTAAAAAAGTTTATTTGGAACTTATTTGAAAGTTAACTCTTTTGAATGTAAAAAAAACATGATCAATTAAATTGAAAGATAAGTAAAGATATATAAGGAAATTGAATATAGTAGTGCTTCCTTGTGTTATTGACATATTTTTTTAAGATACTGCAACCGTTTACTCGTCTTTTCCGTTTAAGGATTTTCATATATAAATTGTTGTTGAGACAAAATAAGCAACAATTAATAAATACATCCGTATATATGGATACGGAAAAATCTTATTTAGGGTACAGATAAACCAATTTCAGAGAATGTGTAATACTATTAGAAACAGACTTGTTCATTTCCTAGTCTACTAACGTTGTTAGTGAGCCCGGGGTTTGAAGAAATAATATCCAAAAGAAATAATAAATATATTCCAGACCTACCCTAACAGTGGTTTTATATTTGAGAAAATGTATAGGAACTTTTGATATCTGATAATATATATTTAAAAAAAGTACCTGTATATTTTCAAATAAGAATCTGTTAAGATAAACAAAGATTTTAATAATTATTTTATTATTATATTTAGTTTAATTCAGAATTTTAAAATATTCAAATTACATAGCTGTGAGGAATAATAATTACCATTTTGTAAAGATAGCAAAAAAGTTATAAATTCTATTTAGAGAAGAAATAAAATAATATTTGTTTAGTTCAAATATACACAGGGCTTTAGTAAAATATCTCAATTTGCTAAACCATAATACGAGACCTTGCCGATCGCGCACGAGACAAGCCACAAATCGTTCCCGACGCTGACATATTCTCGGCTTTTGTCGATTACGTGAGCGGAATATTATATAAGATTCGATACTAAACCCTCTGTAATATTGCGTAATCGTATTGAGTTTACCATTAATCTTCAAATTTGTTTTGTACAGAACAGATAATACTTTAACCGTCGAGTACCATAACTCATACGTTATAAAAATTTATAACTTGTGTTATATTTTCTTTCACAAACAAGACAATGGATTGTGATAAGTTTTTATTCGTGATACTTATGGGGAAAAATTTTAAGAACCACTTCATTACAACTAAATTTAATACATGAAACTTGGACAGAGTTATGTAAGTATTACTTCTAATTTAGCATCTCTTGTGAGTGCCATCTCGAGGTAAGAAGTCTCGCACAGATATTAATTCACTCAGATATTAATTCTCATACTCCCAAAGGAAAAGTAGCTTCTTCAACTATTGCAGGTCGCAAGTAGTGGACATTGCAAAGTATGCAAATAGCGGATAAAAATATTGATTTTTCCTGTCTAATACAAGCTGTGGCTTCAAGTTTGATTTAAATATTTTCACATACGTTTTCCTATAATACTTGTTAATATAAATGAACATAATAATTATTCATAGATATTTTTTAACACAATCATAATTTTAATTAATGATCCTGTACAAATAAATATTTATTTTTCGAAAAATTCTGAGTCATTTTCTAAGAGGTTTCGTCTCAGTCTATCCTGAGAGAAAAATAAAACTTTGTTATAAATAAATAATGAAAATTTAAATATTTTTATGTTTTCAAATATTTTATGCTTTGTTGGTTTAATTTTTGAATTTCATGTTATAATCAAAACACGCTAGTTAACATTAATATTCTTACCAAGCACGGGAAGTAGAGCGTCCTTGTTAATATAGGAAACCTGGTCTTAAGCAAGTTGTTAAAGTCACTAGTTGGAAGCTGCTTTATTATTCAATATTAAATTCAACACAGGAAGGACTGAAGCAAGTTTCCTAACTAAATATTAAAAGTTTTCTTTGTATACGCAGTATTATTCAATATTGGGGTTCAACTTTCTTTATCTTATTAGTATCATTTAAATGTACCAATCGACTTAACTTCAATATTTTTATTGTTGTTTTGATTATAATGAGATACATCGGTTCAGTGGTATAAAATCGAAATAGTGTCTTTCCATTTCCAGCATACAAGGTATCTAAGTTAGTTCTTATCGAATTTTATTCCTTATATTTTTTTCTTGTTTAATGTGTCTTAATTTCGTACAAAAAATAAATTATATTACAAATGAAATGAAAGCAAAATCTATCATATTGATTTTTCACGATTATTTTCCGAAAGTAGTGCTGATATGAGATGAAAGCTAAGTCAGTTTTATTTTTCAACAGGAGTTACGTCAAGGTTCAGCATTATATCCTGTCTCTTTCGTCTTGCGATATGAATTCGTAGATGTGAGTGAGCAAGGTCAACCATTAGTGGACTCTCAGTCAGCATGTGATAGAGTTTTTAAGTCAGCACTTACATATTCTGGAAGATTTCAAGCTCCCCGAGCTATATTTTACTATGGCCGAGGTGGATCTCAAAATTTGACTTGTATTTTAAGGTAATAGTCATTTCTTACAAAGCTAAACTAGGATATGAAATTTGTCAATTATATTAATTGTTTTGCTCTTACAGATTTGAAGCTAAGCATGGTGAAAGAATACAGTTAACATTTACAAACACATATTTCGGAAATAAAATTTGTAGTACTCATAAAGACTCCAAGACAAGCCGATGGGTTTGTGATAGGCCGATTAAAAGAATAATAGGTGGGGAAGGTTTGGCCCAGATTATTATAACTGAATATCCTTGGGAAGGGATCCCAATACAAAGAGATTGTTTATGTACAAATCGCTCTGAACCTCTGAACGTTCACACGCTTACAGCTCCCGTCGTAGAGGTTAATTTCACTGTAACCATGATGAACATAACTGAAGATTATGACGATTTTCAATTTGAAGGTGAATATAAATTTATTCCCACTGGCCCCGGAGATGAAAGTATTTGTTCTACTGGTTGGGGTGATAGACGACTAAGAGGAAGCAGTGGGGAAATAAGATTTTATGACAACAGAGAAGTGTCTGTAGCTCCTGAAATAATGGGTGACAGAAATGTTATATCAGAAAGTGTAAGAGCAGAAGTTGCTTGTGTTCATAGACCGTGGTTGATAGAACCTGGAGGGGATGATGTAACACCCTTACAGGGTAGATATCTATATATCAAAGTACCGGGATATGAAATAACGCCTACTTCGCCATTTTGTCCTACACAAAATCGACTATTTATATATGAAGCACGAGATACTTCAATTCACAGAGAAATTTGTCCTAAAGATTCTAATACTTTAGATTTGTATTCGCCAGGATGGAAATCATCACAAACAACCATAGAATCATCATTGAAACCTCATGCTAAGAGTTACGTAATTGATTTTCTACAACACGAACAAGCCGATTACTCAATCAAATGGATAGAGGTTATGAAAAAGCCATCTATTGACCATGATCCAGCGTCAAACATTTTGCCTTTATCGGTTAATTTAGATTGTCATCATAAGTAAGTAATTATAAAAAAGATGTCCAAAAAATTTATTGCATTTAAAATACTAATTAATTTATTTTTCTAGCTGCCCAGAGTTGAATGCCTGTATTCCTATTACGTTATGGTGTGATGGCAGTCCCCATTGCCCTTCTGGTTACGATGAAGATGACTCAAACTGTTCTTTTAAGTTGTCCTTGCCGTCACCATATGTTGCAGCTGTGGCCGGTATGGGACTTCTTATTTGTGCCATCGCAATTGGCTTATGTGCGTGTAAACGACGAAGAAAAAAGGACAAGGAGTTTAAGGCGAGACTCGACGACGCGCTTCCACCTGAAGAAAGACCTTATGATCGTTCAAAAAGTAATGGAGTTCCAGAAACTAATCGTCAATACGCAACTGTACAAAAATATGCTACAATAGATAAATACAGTTTAAGTCAAAAATACAGTGCGGGTCTCAATGATGTTAGGTATTATGATGAAGTAGCTCAAAAAGATAAACTTGCTGACACGAGGTATGCTAGCTTAGGGCGAGCTGGTCGTTGTAATCGAATGGAAAATAATAGAGGCACTGGATCTAGAAGAATGCCAGAAGTAGGCTATCCAGATCTAAAAGACGGATTTTGTTGACCCTTATCTCGATGACTTATAAACCTCAGAATTACTATAACAGCTACTTATAGCCTAAAGCTTTGAGTCCGTCAAGTTACGTTTATTTATAACCTTTATATTGAAGACTGAACTGGCAAAAGTGCCTCCCTAACAGTTTTGAACAATTGTTTACTCACAATTTTCACACGAGACAAACAGAATATTAATCCTTATCTATAAGATGTCATCCAATTACTAAATAATTTTAAATATAAATATAAAAACCAATAAAGCTTACCTGAACTGCCTTCCGTAATCAATATCAGTTCCTTGTTTTATTATTGTTAAAACTTCTCACCAAATAACATATCTGAATGTACATAAAATGCTTGACAATACAATTTTAAGATACGAGTTAAAACGTTAATCTATACTTTTAGTAGGTGGTTAGTACTGCATTAAACATTTTACAATTACAGAAAAGTTTTATATTCTTTAAAGCAGTATTATACATATTAAGATGTTTGTTTTAACGATATTTGTAACTTTTCTTCGCAATTCCTTTATAGCTAAAAATGAAATTCTGTAATGATTAGTTATAAAATGAAATGTGATATAGACTGTAAAAAGGTAAATAAGTCAATAAGAACTATAACATAAATCTCTGGTGTACCATATAGTTTCCTAAAATGTGTGTATGTATTGTATAAGTATCAACAACTGAATGTAAATAAATTATAGACTAAGGATTTTTAAAGTCTGTAAGAAGTTTCCGATTAAAGGAGATATTAATAAAGTAATTTCTAAAAATAAAATAATGTTTTCTTTAATAAATTCTATTTCACTTCTAACCTACCTGACTTTTTATTCATTTTTTTTAAGTAGAGCGATTAGGTACTAAGCAACTATAAACTTGTATATAGTAGGATATATTGACAAATTTAATATGGGTTTATTGGTAAGAAATGGGACCGATTTACATAAAATCCTATATAATATTAAATAATCTTAAAATGTTACTCAAGGAAGCATTCATCGTTTTGTAATACAACATGATGATTAAAATTTTCTGACTTTGTAATAATCTTGTAGCCTCTCTCAAGTAAACCTACTCAATCTGTTGCTATTCTCAGTATAATATGTGCATATATATGATAAAAATTTTCTTAAAATAATAGAAAAGTAATAGCTCTTTGGGTACGTCATTCTTAAGTATATTACAATAAAAAGAGAAAAAATGATGTCAATACTGTTCAGTTAATTTGTATTTGTCTTATTACATAATAACATTACTGGTTCTGACTGCATTAGTCTGTCTACTTCGTTGACATAACGAACCCTGCGCCAACTGAACTATTAGATGAAATAATTAAATCTACAAACAAACGGAAGATTGCATAAAATTAAAAACGTTTATATAAATGTCTCTAAAATATTCTTAGTTATCGCACAAGCTTTATTAAATGTATTTCGTGTACGTAAACTGGTAATAAAATATTGATTACTAAAAAAATAAAACGTAAATAATGCAATTATAAAAATAAAAACGAAATTCCCAAATAATTTGACACTTATAACTAAAAAACAGAGTTTTTTGGTACAATTATATTACGGAGGAGCAGTTGGTTGGAACCAATTACTTTTCAAATCAGTTTATTCAATCAACTAATTGAATTTATTAGTCTATTGAAACTGTTTTTTATTATTTTTTATAGTATATTTTTTTGTGAAAGCGACTAATCTATTTGTTATATACAATTAAAAATAAATTTTAAGCAACATGGATATTACATTAAAGTTTAACTTAACTGTAAACTAATTTTAATTACTTAGAAAAAAAACCGCTTTGAATATCATAAGCGAACTTTAATCTCAAGAAAATTTTACAATAGTTATTGGAATATTTTGCTAAAAGCGAGTGTGTCATGTACACGATCGAAATTTCCATATCTAAATGGAAAACGGCCCTACACAATCAATTTTGAACACACATTCCATTTGAAAAGTGCACCTGTACCTACTGAGAATATATAGTTTTTTTAGAATTTGTTGGATTCGACGATTGTTATGGTTTATATCTTTTGCTACGTGTATCTTGTTTGACAAATATTTGGTACTCGTATTTGTCATAATATTATAAAGTAAAAGTAAAAAATTTTCTTGACACATTCACTATATTATACATAAATAACATGAATATGAACTTTTTGATGAAAATAAATTATGAAACGATATGTTTTGCACGATATATTATTGTGGCTTGACTGTTTTATAAAATATTATAATAATATTTACATTACGAGATACATAACTAGTTACTTTTTCCTTATAAAAGTTGGAAAGTAATTAATAGCCATAAAATTGGAAATCATATAAAAGCTATGAAAGACTGCACCATTAATCTGGCCATAAAATTGCCTAATTATACAAATCATTTCAACGAATGCGTAATAATTCGCCTTGAATTAATGAAAGCCTCACACCGGTTCATTTGTTTTGGTAAAACGTAATTATCATAACAGATATTAATTGGTGAGGATTGTTATCAACTAATAAAATGTATGTAAAATAGTTGTTTCAGAAACTTAATATACATAGTATGAAGTTTTTCACAGTAAAATGTACTGTGAATAAATGTATACATGAAGTGCCCCGTTGCGTTAATAAGGAATTATTAGTGCGTAACGTGAACTTTCGACTAAATGTAGCATGTGTTTAACCACGACCATAATTTCGGCGTAACGACCAGCTTCTACGTGAGGGAGATAAGTCGAAGTTTTTGGTGAGCCATTTTGACTGGTTTATCGCACGCACGTTCAAGATACTTTAATGAATATTTATCATTTAATTTACGTATTTTCTCCTATATTGATATAAACCCCATTAAAGTTAACATTGACTACGTTTATTGCATTTTTAAATAGACTTTGATAAGACTTTTAAATTATTTTTGTAGTTAAAATTTTTGTATACTTGTATGAAACAATTTATTACGTTTTTAATTTCGTGTTATTTATTACATTCCATCATTCAGCTATCATAACACTTTTTACTCTTTTGTGAGAATCACGATTTTTTTCAATAGGATTAATAATATATGTTAATATAATAAAGAAATATACATTTTTATGCTCTTTGTTTACATATCGTATGTATTTTGTCGTTCTGAAATTGTTAATATAGAAATTTGTAGCGTATTTATTTCTAGTCTATATGACTATGATTCCCTTTTTCGATTAACGTGAGATATAAGGTACACAGTTATTTCAAGATTTACTACATCTTCGTCGTGTTGCGTGCCTATAGATCTAACCACATTGATTTATAAATGGACGTTAATGGCGTTATTATGTCTTTATTTAAATAAGGTTTCAGAATTTGGGAGCTCACGGAGTTCATGTTATGCTATAATAACACGGAAACGAGGGTACCTCTGTGTTGACTTTTACGACTAAGGTTGAAGCGAAACTTAATTACGATTTTGTGTTCTTTCTTGTTTTCTTTTTTCATAAGGAAAAATTGGACTCTGAAATTTTTAATAAAGGTATCACGTGATTAATTATTTTAGAAGAAACAAAAAAATAAGTAAATTTTATTTAAATTTATACGTTTTATTATTATTATTTTTTTAATTATAAATTTCTTTTCAGATTACTTATAATTTAGTATCAAAGCACGACCTGGTACCAAGGCCACATGCAAAATCTAGCCTTCATAAGACTCACTGTTAATGTTTAAGGTTGGTAGAAGATATTTATATTTATTATAGATCAAATAATCATATAGTCATCATCATATATTTGTGAGACTAAATTCTGAATTCAATGATCCCAATGATTCAATTTGATAACTAATTTACAAATAGCAAAAGTTTTACTGCTCCACTTGCTTCGTTTTTAATAAATAATGAGGGTGACAACATCGGACACTTTAATTTATATTGGTTTCACGTCTTAAGTCCCCTTCATAAATCGGTATGGAACGCGTAAAGTGCATCAGAGCTAATAAATAATGCAAGGGCATAAATGTATGTAGGGTATAAAGTAGGGGGACTTTGAAACCACGGCAGTTAAGCTGATATTTAAGGTTTTAGGGACGAAAATGCTCAAATGGAATTGTGAACGTAAATATTGATTTTGATGTTGTACTCTCTATATGAGGTGATTTAGTTTATTAGGGTTCTTAGTTTTCCTTTCAACAACAAATAATGAATTAGTATTTATTTGTTTATAATTAAAATAATAATGTGTGTGTATATGTGTTTTTCATTTTATATCTTTAAACAGATCGACCCAACCGATTTAGAAGTAGTTTCATTAATTAATATAAATTTAGAATATTAGGCTGATTTCTTTTGTAATGTAATCTTTTGTTAATTAATTGTTAATTAGCTCGCATTTTTTATATATCTTCTAGTTATGAAATAATTTATTTTTCTTAAAACATTGTGATATAAATTGTATCCTAACCAATCAATAAAGAAACTAACTAAAAAATTATTTCATCTTTAATTTCACCATACTTATTATGTCGATACTATCCTTTCCCACTAGTGTTGCTAAGAAGTTGGTGCTATTAAAATCTACTGAAGTATAAGAGTAATTTGCAATAATAATTTAATTTATTCAACAAAATATATTTTAAATGTATTGACTAAAATTATTTTCTCAGTACAAAATCACGGTATTGATTTTAAAAATCATGTATCATTGTAATGTGCAATGAAAAAAAATATGGTAGTGACGTTACTGTGATGTTGACATTTTTATAACACAGACGATGATACATTTATAAATGGTTACCCATCGACAAGCTTTGCATTTGACACACGTACGCTACAGGGAATTGAAACGAGGGGTCCTTAGTAGGAAACCACAAAGAAATAAAAATCTTTAGACGTAGTGACGTTTTAAGACCGTTTAAAGTTGCTGTTCTCCCTAACTTTGTAGATAAATGAACAAATCACGCTTTCAATTATATTTCCTCCAAATCTTTAGGGGGTTGAAATGCTTATGAGATTTTATATCTCATTCCACTTC